AGTACATGTAAGTTGAAGTGTTACAACAATGATTATAAAGAGGTAAAGACCAAAGTAACTTAGTTTCCACGTCCGCGTTACCGCCAGTGTTGAGAAACACAACCAGGTGCCGTGTCTAGTTTCAAAAGGAAGTTTTGGACGTGCCAGGCCAACCGCATGCCTGACGTCACGTATCCATTCCTCTTTACTCGGAAACAGGATGACACTGGCCAAACTATTACCGAGCGCTTCAGGGATTTCTTTGGCCTTCCAACCCCGTCACCCAGACCACGTGCACCAACTGGACCTTAGTTACGCTCGTACATGTACATGTACATGGACATGGACATGTACATGTACATGGACATGTACAGGGACATGTCCATGACAATCAGTCATGTACATGTACAATCATGTACATGTACATGTACATGTACATGGACATGTACATGTACATGTACATGTACATGTACAATGTCATGTACATGTACATGTACATGTACATGACATAGTAGATCTACATGTACATGTACACGTGGGAAGAAGTAATATCCATCGATACCACTACGTGACTCGAGAACCCGGAGCAGCACATCGTTCCATTTCGCCTGACCAATCGGTGACCATTACTTCCTCTAAAAAAAACAATTCAGCACCATTGTTGTGAAGATACACAAGAACGAGAGACAAGAGGAAACCTTGGGAGTCATGCACGTACATTTACATGTAGCCCGTAAAGACTGTAGAGATTAAAACCAAACCATAGTTAAATTGTAGAGATTAAAACCAAACCATAGTAAATTGTAGAGATTGGATTAGAACGCCCCGCGTCTGCTACCCTGTACTTCAACCATAAAGAAGAATCTCAGCGGCGGCAATTGTTCTCGCATGCGAGCAACCCGGGCCGGCCTCGGCAACAACCAGTTCAGCCACAGAGAGACCTCTTGAACCCCTGACCATTAGCACATTACTTTCAGCTCATCGACTCCTTGCTCTGGCAATGGCCTCCCACTGAATCATGCGGCACGCTGTGAGCGGCGACATGCACTGTGTGAGAGCACTGCCTGGAGGACTGTGAAGGTAGAATACCGTGTGTCCGCCATAATTACTAGCAGGTGGTTACACAGAGGCAATATGCTTTGGTTCTGCAAGAGTGCTCAATGCCTGATTCAGGCAGAGCGGCGTACACAAATGCACACAATGAAAACCTTGGCAAATTAATTCCGTTGTGACTCAGAGTTTCATGGCTGAACCAATCATCAGACAACGATCTTTTCATTGTGTGCATTTGTGTAGCAGGTGGTTATTCTAGAGCTCGTGCTTTTCCGCCGATTTGGCTTGCAAAGTTGCCACTTGCCTGACTCATGTCTGGCAATCCAGAGTAGCCCTTGGCCGCGCGGATTATGCTGGCATAATTTCTGGCATAATCTTCGGACTTTGCCTAAATATTAATATGCCCTGGCATAAAAGAACTTCTGAGACCAGGCGGTCGGCATAACCTTACGATGCTGGCTGAAGATTAATGCTCCAGGCATAATTAGGCACGTTGCAGGAAATAACCTGGTGAATGTTGCCCCTTATACTAGTTATAGTATACTATACGTGTACAGTAGATATTGGTTATACGTGCCCTTCTGATTTTTCACATTTTATCACTATAAGTTAACCGGTATATCACTACAGGCGATTTTCAACTGCGCTCGTCATACATACACATTATACACGTGTGGGTACTCGATCGCGCTAATGTAGCGTACTGATACATGGTGCATGCTGCTGCACCTTCCCCAGCCTAGAGTGAAGAACTTCTTGGCCCAAAGGCATCATCCAGGAAGCATCAGACCAGAATACACTATGAAAACGCACATGTGGCTCCAAGTCGAGACATCAATACCTCACACTCGTGTGTTGCTATCACTATAGACGATAATTTTTCTGCACAAAGAGGTGATTTGAATGGTGATTCTGTATCCTTATAGCCGATTTATCGCTATATCCGATATATTGGTTATAATGATAATTTGACTGGCTTTTTCTGGTTTTGCTTTTGATATCTTCATTTTGTATCAATATAGCCGGTTTATCACTATATCCGATGACTTTATAACCGATATCCACTGTACATGTATAGTATACATGTACATGTATAGTATACATATAGTACATATAGTACATGTATAGTATACATGTACACGTATAGTATACATGTACATGTACATGTATATTATACGTGTACATGTAAGCCGTGCAGTCATGGTGCAAGAGAGTTGTTCTAACGTTGCAAAGTGCGACAAGAGTGCACCATCATTGGCATAGTAATCTTTATTTCAGGATTACCCAAAGGCTAACGCCTATCTGGGTGATCTGAATATAATTCCAGCATCACGTAGCATAATCACTGGCATAATTCCAGCATAATGGAAAGCACAATTCAGCAATTTACCGAGCAAGGGCTAATCCAGAGCACACAAGAAGTCGATCGAACATTCGGTCACTCGGCAGGCTGCAAGAAAGAAATAATCCCTGCTCAATAAACAGTGTTGCGGGGAGAACTCACCCTGATCAGTTGAGCTTGAGTAGGTTGAGGAAAATTGCACCAATTGTATACATGTACATGTATGTACATGTAGACGAAAACATCGCCAAGGATACACGTGTACAAACTTACAGAGACGCTCCGTTTCCAGGGCGACAAACACCTCGTGAACACCAGATAGCAGCGTGTGTCAGCATCGCTCATGGGTAGGTACATGTAGAACAGGCGTGCATACGTATACAATGTACATCATAGTAGGGACAGGGAGCCGAAGGGATTGGAATAAGGGTTTCCACAAAATTCAAGAAAAAAATCTCAAAATTCAAATTCAAAATTCAAAAATATTAGGCAAATTTCAATGATAAAATTCCAAAAATCGCAAAATTGAAAAAAAATTCAGCCAATCACTCTGGTTGCGCCGAAACTTCTGGATATCACCATGGCAACACCATGGTAACGCAAAATGGTGGCCGAAGAAAAATAGTTGTGGTCAATCTTCTGTCAATCTGCTTTCCAGTTCTGGTGATTAATATTATTCTTTTTTTAACCAATCTCACTCAACATTCACCCTTTTTTGGGTGCCGGACATCACTTTTGGCCACCACTGTACATGTACAGTCATTATGCTCCGCGGACTGCAGCGCCGAATGACTACAACTACCAACTATAACTAGGCCGGGTCTAGGGTAGGGAGTCGTAACCACGACTACCTGCTGCCAACACACAAGATGTAGTAATGACAGTATGTGCCACAAATTTAATTATTTTCATTGGTAGCGTACAGTTTGAGGTGCAGAAGGGACCGGTTTAATGCTTGGCGCATGGTGATTGGTGTACAATCATGTACGGATTCTACAATTCCAGGTTCTTTATGGAAATATACCAGGAGTCCAGATACCCATTCCTCACCCTCACCACACAAGAAGACCAAAGCTTCGCTCTAGCCTAGGACCCAGTTCCAAGCCACAGAGAAGCAACAACAACAACAACCACGATGGACGCAAAGCATCGAGCTATACGCTGTGGTTTGTACTACAACTATGTTAATTAAAATACTTACAACTACTTTCAAGTACAAGTACTGTAGTGGCGTGCACAGAGCAAGCGAGAAGCCAGCGAAGCATGAATGCCAGAATGGTGATAGGTTTCACAACACTATTGATCGACGAGACACATCGCCGCCACGGCAAACACTTACTAGTGACTTGATAAAGATACATGTAGGAGCAGACGGAATACAATACAGATAATGACATTGTAGCAACACAGGGACACGACACATGTAATTGTTAGATTGACAGCATGAAACAAGTGTTCAGGAACAGTGACCTTACTACATGTACAACCATGCATCCACGGTTGGCAGAGCCCCGGTCCATTAGGACCATTTGAACAACATAGTGGGTGTTGAGCCCGGTTCTGACCTACCAACGTGGATGGTTGTAGTAAGACTAAGGTCACTATTTCCGAATCCGAACACAGTGTCCTCCACCTTGTTTCATGCTGTCAATCTAACAACATGTGTGAACTATAACTAAAAACTAAGTATAAGTATAACAAGGTTTACCTACATGTAGTTTTGAACTAGTATTGGGTTATACCAATCATGTACATGACTGTACATTGTAAGTTGAGCCTGTGTCACGTGTGTGCGACTGGCCGTACTCATCATGGACACACACACGTCATGATGTCACGCTATCCCACAACTAACCAACTTACTTCACAAGGGCACATGCGCAGTGTGAAGGGAAGACTGCATCATTGAGTGGGCAATGCGCTGTTCTTTGTGAAGCTCACCGGTAGTACACATAGTGGACAGACAATCCCTTAAAATAACTGGTACTTTGTAGCGCTCTTCTGCACTGGCACTGCACTGGCGGGCTACAAAGCCACATACAATGATACAGAATCACCAGCACTGCTCAAATACAATGTAATTGATTGATAGCACTATGTGACTGTCCCTACATGAGGTCTTGTGTCCGAAGGCATCCACGATGCACGATACATACAGTATGTGTGTTCGATTATCCGGTTCCCTCGCCTATCCGGATAGTTTTGTGGAAAATGGACGTGTGCGGTTATGTGAGGTCTGACTGTAGCACCAACCCCATACAGCTCATGCTACTGCACAGCACTATTGAGTGTCATGACCCTATAGATACCATGGTCAACTATACTGAGACGCATAATATACAATTGTGCCAACACGCTTGGGGTAATCACATTGCAACACGTAGGGACGATCAGCCAGTCCCGACATAAGACCTCAAACTGTACATAAACACAAGTTGCTCAGTGAGTGTATTCGACACGAGCATGCAACAAGCAGGTCACTGGCTGGCTTGTTGGCAACCAGGGAGTCGTAGCCAGACGTTTGGGTACGACTCCCTGTTGGCAACACATCAAGCAGCTGCCAGCTCCGTACACACAGTATATGCATGCAGACCAGCGTGACCACATCACACCAAGTAGGCTGCAATGAGGCATGCCAGCAGAAATATCTGCGACAGGGTTCCTTTACTTATATAAGGTAATGATACGAGATTACCAATTCTAAAACTTCTCCATAGTTCAACTTAACACTTCAGCAAAAAATCTAAGTCTTGCATGTGACATGCTAGGATTTAAAAAGCAGTGAAACAATTCAGCGGTACATTATCAATAAAGCCGTTAGCGGGATAAAGGTGGGCTAAATGCCCTGGGTGGTGTGATTAGGAAGTGAGGTGAGGGAGTAACATTCGATAATGCTTGCTCTGTAATATAGCATCGAATGAAGTTCATGTGGAACACATGTGGTGCTGACTAAAAGGAAGAGGGCATTTGCTTCTGAAAAGTTTTCTTTTGAATTTCAGTCCCACAGATGTTATGCTGCACATACTAAATGTACCTTGGTGAAAGTCAGGCTCTGCATCCTCCACTTGAGGGAGAGGGAGAGAGAGAGGGAGGAAGAGAGAGAGAGAGAGAGAGAGAGAGAGAGAGAGAGGAGGAGAGAGAGAGAGAGAGAGAGAGAGAGAGAGAGAGAGAGAGAGAGAGAGAGTCAGCAAATGAGCAAGAGCTGCGACATCTAGATGGGTCGCACAATAATTCAGCTAAGCAGGTTCAGCGTGGCAGCTTTGCATATCTGTGCAGGAGAACAACAAACAGAAAAAAAGAATAGTGTTTAGATTGCATGGGGAAATGGTACACTACCACGTAATTAGGATAAGGAATTAGTCATTGTGCTGGGCATAACCTGGTGAAAAGGCAATCAAGTCTTAGTGAACAGGGAACAAGGTACCTTGAGGAGAGTGAGAGAGAGAACAAAGATTAGTTGAATTCCTTGCCCTAATTCGTTCCCTGCTCCGTGTCAGAAGTTTATGACATTGCAATATCAAAAATACACACAAATTCATCATTTGGGTAGCATGCACTTGAAAGTGCAAAAAAAGGTTTTGGGCGACCCGACTGACTGTATGTTTGAACGCAGACTGGACGAGTTTATTTAGTGCGAATAGTGCACAAATGCGTTAGATGTTGAGAACTTTCTTCGAGCAGGCCACAGTACTTTGCGGGCATTGCGTTGACGGAGAGCCTACACTAGCATCAAGAGTACTGTTTTCTGATGATCACTTAGTGCGTGAAACTCGGAGTAAAAACACTTTCTCTGTCCTCCTATGGTTTGAACCAGCTCTACCACTTGGTATTGAGCACTCTCTTGGACAGCCTGGAACCTCTCTGTTTTATAGCATCAAGAGTAAATAGGCTCCCAAGAGTGTGCAACTCTGCATGCCGGTACGTTTCGTTATGCGTACAAACGAAGGATAGCGTGCGCGCAATCCAAATACCTGCCATGATCATGCTGGCGAGTTGCACACGCGCAGTGAGTTTCTGTCAGGGAGTGCTTTTATTATTACTCCGCTGCTCGCTAAAAACGGGCTGGAAACGTACAACTGGAACACTACACCACATGTTGTGAGTTTTCGCCGTCGGCCAACCCCATAGAAAGGGTATCAGGAGTTGCACACTCTTGGGAGCTTATATATTCTTGCTAGTATCGAGAAGGGTTACGATAGGGAGTCATAAAATATCGGTATTTTACAACTCCCACGTTCAACTGCATTGTCAACTTATTCAGCACGGCCCTGCGGACAATTATGAATATGATCCTACCTGAAAAATTATCCGGAGAAACCCTGGTTCAAGGGGCAATGCTTAGGGGGTCGTCGCAAAAGTATTCGTCGTCCCTGAAACGAACATCGTTCATTTCGAACTCAGAGCCCCCCCCCCCCCCTCCAAAAAATAAATAAAACCAACTTACTATGTGCCCCCCCCCCCCCCCCCGGTTTTCGGCTCCTGACAGTACTGTATGAAGGACACTGGACATCCCAACTGAAGCGTTACCTCATCATCTGACGAGCATCATCGCCTGCACTGGTCCTGCCAATAGCCGGTCCCATGCCAGTCATCAATGCAGCAGGAGGAGCAATGGCACCAGCTTGAGCGGGTGCAACAGCCTGGCCTGCATCACCAGGTACATCTGTAGCGATTTGTGAGAGTCTCCAAAAGTCTTCATCCTCTACAAGCAAGCAAAAGAGAGGCAGAGAGAGAGAGAGAGAGAGAGAGAGAGAGAGAGAGAGAGAGAGAGAGAGAGAGAGAGAGAGAGAGAGAGAGAGAGAGATAGAGATAGAGATAGAGAGAGAGAGAATAGACAGGGAGAGAGAGAGAGAGAGAGAGAGAGAGAATAGACGGGGAGGAGAGGCAGACAGACACAGACAACATGAGAACACAAGCTACATGTAACAGCGCAGATCGACATCTTTGTGGCCTCATCTGACTTCTTTTCAGCTATCCAAATCTCAGTACGGTAGTAGCCACATGTGCACACATGCACAGATTAAAAACAAGGACAACAGCTTGCCATACCTTCCGTAACGAGATTGCAACTGTCAGCACCTAGCATGTCACCTACATAAGAACAGAAGCAAACAAGCAAAGAATCAATGAAGACAGAGCAGCATGTCAGTAAGAGCATTGAGCAGTGTTTAAAACAAGTTTGAAAGCCACAGAAAGCTGTGAGAAAACAGTGAAACCTGTCTAAGCCGACCGCTCAAGGGACCTTCCAAGCGTGGCCCGCCATGACAGGCGATCACCGTATCCAGAGTCATTTGACTGCGAATAACATCCCTTGGTCGGTCCTGGCCGTAGTGCTCCTCTAAGGCAGGTGGCCACGTTATCAGAGTGGTCACCTTGAAAGGCTATAGTGAGTGAGTACAGTGCAAGCAGAGTTTCATGCCCAAGAAGATCTCTCTTGAAAAACGGTGACCTGTTTTGATACGATAGTAATCAGACTTTTTACTGTAAAAGCCATTATTCTAACGAGGCGCATATATAACGATTTCCTAAAATTGACCAGTTTACGTGTATCAAAGGTAACGATTCTCACTCATTCTCAACGCTCGATAGCAACAATACGTATAGATTTCTGCCTAACGTTTTCTATTTTAACGACAGATTTCTCCTCGTTAATTCGTTAGAATAAGCACTTCGCTATATATATATATGGCTTTTACAGTATTATAATTTCACTTGAGATTACTATACGATTCCATCATACTGTAAACTGCCCAATATTTGCGTCACAAAATTTTCGCGATTTCTCAGAACCAGCGAGTTTACGATGGCAAATTTTCGCGGAACACTGTGGCCATACTCACTGTCGAAGTTTGATTTCACGACGGTTAATATTCGCGTTACGCTCTTCTCGCGAAATGAGCAAACATTAGGCAGTTTACAGTAACGTACGTAGCACAGTCACAGGGTTGCAGCATTGTGATCACAGCACTTCTACAGCCATACACACACAATGGAATGCCCAGTGTTCTCAAAACCAAACACGCATCACCTACCTGCAAGCTTCTCTGCGAGTTCCACTTCGCCTTTCGCTGCACGTCCCGGATTGCGGAGTTGGGGGTCTTCATATGTCGAACTGCGCCGCTGGTGCTGTTGCTGCAGTGGTGGTGGTGGCTGGACCAGTTGCTGCTGCTGTATCTGCTGCTGTTGTGGTTGTCTGTGTTGTTGGCGCAGCTGTTGAGCTCGCAATTGCCGTTGTTGCAATTGCATCGCACGTAACTGCTGCTGATTCTGTTGCTGCTGCTGCTGTTTTTGTTGTTGTTGTTGTAGTTGTTGTAGTTGTTGCTGCTGCTGCTGCTGTTGTTGTTGCTGTTGCTGCTGCTGCTGTTGTTGTTGTTGCTGCTGCTGCTCTGGTTGTTTTAGCTTTGAGTACTGCGGTTGCTGATTCTGTGGCTGTTGTTGCTTTTGTTTTTTCGACGGTGAAAGCGGCCGAGGCTTGTTGCTTGACTCCGTGAGCGGAGTGGGTGCATTGCCACACGCAGAATCGAGACTGGGGGACATGGACGAAGCGTTGGTTCCGGCACTCACAGCAGTGGTCGTGTTGTTAGTTTTGCTAGTGACGGGCGTGTGGACCGCTGACGCAGGCCGTTTAGGCGCCGGCTCTCCACCACCGCCGTGAGACCGGCGTGCAGCAGCAGCATTGGTGGTATGCGTGGCCTGCTGGTGGCTGCGCTGCGGGGTGCTGCTGGCCAGAGGCACGGCATTCTCGTCACTGGCCGCGGCCACCGTGCTGACGACCAGCGATGACGACTCGGCAACGTACGGTGACATCCTGCCAACAGGCTTGATGAACTCACCCGGATGCCGGAGATCGCTCTCGGTTAGGTTAGTTGATGCATCCGCCGCACCGGTTCCCTGAGCACAGGGAACATACAGCAAGTTTGCAACGCTCAGCAGGCCATTGGCTAATTGACTGACAAGAGAACATGTTGACTGTTGCTGTAGATCACTATGAAAACAAGAACAGTCGCACACATATCTGGATTATGAGCTCGCTGTTTCAACCTTCTCAGGTCTCATCAGCGAAGCTCAGGGGGACTGACCGAACAGATCGCAATGATTATGAATTACTGTAGCTAAAACAAGTGCAAACCTCCACAGGCGCAATCACATCTGTACCCACATATGCACGTACAGCACACACACACACACACACGCACACACACACCACGTACCATGTACCATGTATACACCCGTCGCAAGAGAAGCACGCAAATCTGCAAATGCACTGGATGTGCACCCACAGATTTTCTCTTAAAGCAACGATAGCGGACTGGATCCGAATGAGACAGATCAAGACTAGCGCCAGATAACTGTCCAATCCACACAACCTGCGAAGCCATGTGAATCGACCACCAATGCACACCTGGTCTACACCACACGGAGTACATCGGCATAAAACGGCCAAGACAGTTACCTATGCACACCCTACACTTGCTGGGGTAACCAGTATAGACAGCACGCTGCTTTGATAGAAGCAGACACTAGATGCACTGGTGCCTTGAAGTGAAATTGGAGGCACACACACACACACGCACATACCTTGAGCATGCGCTGGATGAATTTCAAATAGTCGCGGCTACTTATGCAGTTGCCCATCGAATTGCCAAAATTCCTGCCAAGAAGGAAACAGAACAAGCACGCAGTGAAATGTTGCGCATGCAAGATCGGCCACGAAAAGCATGAACAGAAAGAAAGTCATAGCTTTATAAATTTCTGATATCGTGACAAAATACACGATTTCCGGGAGCACGCACACGCACAGACACGCACACATACAAACACACACGTGTATGCTTACTTCATGGCCCGCTTGAGCCCGTCCGTGACTGCCTCCTTCCTGGCCTTCTCGATGGAGAGTGCCTTGGAGCGCATGCCCTCCGACACGCCATAGCCAACGTCCTCATGGTACACACCGTCCTGTTGCAGTCATACAGGCAGATACGGCACTGCGCTAAGTAAAAACCGTTAACGTTTGGCTATTCCGGCCTGTCAGGAGAGTCCCTCGATACGCCCCCATAGAATTTAGTCAATCCTTTAAAAAAATTAAAAGCCAATCAATCAATGTCAAAATACCCTTCCATTGACTTGAGTGGTTGAGGCTATGCTGCAATTCGTAGAAGAATTTCTCGACTGTTGTTAGACAATAATAGAAGTACATCTTGTATGAATGAATGAGTTGAACGTTATCCAAGAGATTTGAGCATGCTGGAAGCCAGGTTGATCATTAAACCAGATTCATCTCTCACCGATGGGTACGTGTAAATAAAGTGAATAAACTGAAGAAGAAGCAAGCGTTCCACGAAAGAGTGCAAGGAGACGATCACAGTATCACCACTCCTACTGCGACTCTTGCTCAGGAGTAGGAGTTGGCATGTTCGATTGGTTGGATCCGGATCCATATCGATTGAGGGGATCCTTTGGATCCACCAAGGTCCAATCAAACGCTGCCCCGGGTCGAATCTCGAATTTTAGTGGTTTTTGAGGGCTTCCATGAGAGAAAGCAACGATTTCCGCATCATCTCTTTTATTCCCGCCACTTGTACAGGTATCACGTACAGAGCACGTTTTTGGCAAAAAAAGAATCCGGTGGATCCGGTCAACCCTGCTCCTGGAGTAGGGCTGATCGGATCCAAATCCGTTGGATCTGGCATATATCGAGTGGATCCGATTGATCTGGATCCAGATCCAACCAATCGAACATGTCCCAAGTAATGCTGGGCTCTCAAGACTTTATTAAACATTTCTGAAAGGACTGAACTCCAAGCAGCCTTCAGAAGATCAGTACAATGGTGGCACTCAGCAAACATGCAGGCAGGAGGCTCCAACTTTGTCATTGAGTACGACATACTACTGAGTACGGAACACTGCCATCTTTCCAGAGCACTGACCTTTAACTGCACTTTAACAAAGGCGCTGACTCCCACGTAGTACTTTCCGCCCTGCAAGTCCACAAAATCTGCAGGGAAAAGATGGAGAGAAACAGCAACAGATGCTCACAGATCCCTCTGTGTCTAAAACGAACCCAATCCGCACTGCACTCACTGGGTTCTAGCTAGGGAGTCGTAAAAAAGTAATATTAATTTTAATTAAATATGGTATTTTATGACTGCTTGGTTCTCGCCAAAGGAGGCGATGAGGGCACCGTGCCCTACTATGAAAAAGAGGCCACACAGTCACTCCTACAGGGATATAGTACGGTGAACTTCAAGTGCACTCATATCTCTCCTATCGTCGCAATGCATGTTTCGCTGAGTGAACATGCTTGGCAGCCATGTTGGTAGCTTAGTCCCACTGTTGCCACACGTTGCCATATCAGCCAAGACCAAATGCTGCCCACTTGACCGGGGTGCCCGCAACTTCGACGTCCGGGTAATAGAGATACGGGTGTGCGTGCATAACAAGTCTCCTAACTAAGGGCCATACAAGAGAGCTCGTAGGCGCATGAGCCTACACTGAGTCATTATACTTTTTTTTAAATAAATTAAAAAATACTCGTACTACACATACAAGGGAACATCTGTGTAGTGTAAGTACGATGGCATGGGACATGTACGAGTACGTGATACAGAAGCCAGGCGTCGTCCGTCAGAATGTGATGGAGTTGTCACTACATTATTATGCACGTGACACCAGTCTGCAGAACATGCACCTGAAGCGTTTGTCAAAACATGCACGGAATAGTTCACGGAGTTACGATATAGACATTTATGAAAACCTTACAAAACTGGTTTGAGTCCTGGTGGTGACAGCCAATTTTTTTCCAGGCTTTTCCCATTTGCGTCTTTCCCTCAAACCAGTGAAAACCTTACAAAACGCACGTTTTCTCAGCATGTCTCCCGTGCAGGTGATGTACTACACAAAGCCATATGCAAAGCTGTCAGCTGGATATCAGTATGCGTTCGGTCCATGTGTCCTGCATCTGGTACAGGTCTGAGTGCTTCCTGGCTTCGGAAAGCAGCCCCAGAAACCATCCAACCATCCACGGGCCTAGCCTACTGGTATATTGCATATTCGTGTTACGACTTCCATGTCTTGATCCACTTGCTTACGGGATAGGTTGACAAAGACGCTTATATTGCTCTCGCCAGCTTTTATTCTTGTCTCAACGGTGTGCCATGTACAGAACACATTGTGTTGTATGCACGGCCGTGCCGAGCAAACACCATGGCCACTTCCCATGGAATCCAGCCGACACTTCTCATCCTCATTCCAGGCCGAGTCAGACTCCTGGGGCTGGCGACTTGATGATTTGACACGAGCAAAATTTGTGGAAGCGGCCGAAACACTTTTTTTTTAAGGCAATGGTTACACCTTGATCCTTGAGGGTGGTGGCAATCATGGATATGAAAAAAAAAACTCAATCTGACTGAGCCTCTCGCAGGCCGTGAATTTTTTAAATGGTTACATAGCTGTGGTACAATCATATAGTTATGCTCCTACCTCCGAAAGGATGCCAAATTATGCTCCAAATTTTCAACCACCAAATTATGCCAATAATTATGCCGGCATATTTATATTAAATCCGCCGGTGCCTAACGAGTACGAGGGCAGTACTGCGGAATCCAGCCCGCGCCACGACAGCAGCAAGGGCTGCATGGAATAGGAGGTTATAGTCACATGATGTCGGGCTTCCAGATGAGACACCTAGCCACACAGTTGCCCACAAACACACACACAGCCACACAGTTGCCCACACACACACACACAGCCACACAGTTGCCCACACACACACACACAGCCACACAGTGGCCCACACACACACACACAGACACAGTTGCCCACACACACACACACAGCCACACAGTTGCCCACACACACACACACAGCCACACAGTTGCCCACACACACACACACAGCCACACAGTTGCCCACACACACACACACAGCCACACAGTTGCCCACACACACACACACAGCCACACAGTTGCCCACACACACAGCCACACAGTTGCCCACACACACACACACAGCCACACAGTTGCCCACACACACACACACAGCCACACAGTTGCCCACACACACACACACAGCCACACAGTTGCCCACACACACACACACAGCCACACAGTTGCCCACACACACACACACAGCCACACAGTTGCCCACACACACACACACACAGCCACACAGTTGCCCACACACACACACACACAGCCACACAGTTGCCCACACACACACACACAGCCACACAGTTGCCCACACACACACACACAGCCACACAGTTGCCCACACACACACACACACAGCCACACAGTTGCCCACACACACACACACACAGCCACACAGTTGCCCACACACACACACACACAGCCACACAGTTGCCCACACACACACACACACAGCCACACAGTTGCCCACACACACACACACACAGCCACACAGTTGCCCACACACACACACACACACACAGCCACACAGTTGCCCACACACACACACACACACACAGCCACACAGTTGCCCACACACACACACACACAGCCACACAGTTGCCCACACACACACACACACAGCCACACAGTTGCCCACACACACACACACACAGCCACACAGTTGCCCACACACACACACACAGCCACACAGTTGCCCACACACACACACACAGCCACACAGTTGCCCACACACACACACACACAGCCACACAGTTGCCCACACACACACACACAGCCACACAGTTGCCCACACACACACACACAGCCACACAGTTGCCCACACACACACACACAGCCACACAGTTGCCCACACACACACACCCAGCCACACAGTTGCCCACACACACACACACAGCCACACAGTTGCCCACACACACACACACAGCCACACAGTTGCCCACACACACACACACACAGCCACACAGTTGCCCACACACACACACACACAGCCACACAGTTGCCCACACACACACACACACACAGCCACACAGTTGCCCACACACACACACACACAGCCACACAGTTGCCCACACACACACACACACAGCCACACAGTTGCCCACACACACACACACACAGCCACACAGTTGCCCACACACACACACACAGCCACACAGTTGCCCACACACACACACACACAGCCACACAGTTGCCCACACACACACACACACAGCCACACAGTTGCCCACACACACACACACACAGCCACACAGTTGCCCACACACACACACACAGCCACACAGTTGCCCACACACACACACACACAGCCACACAGTTGCCCACACACACACACACACAGCCACACAGTTGCCCACACACACACACACAGCCACACAGTTGCCCACACACACACACACAGCCACACAGTTGCCCACACACACACACACAGCCACACAGTTGCCCACACACACACACACAGCCACACAGTTGCCCACACACACACACACAGCCACACAGTTGCCCACACACACACACACACAGCCACACAGTTGCCCACACACACACACACACAGCCACACAGTTGCCCACACACACACACACAGCCACACAGTTGCCCACACACACACACACAGCCACACAGTTGCCCACACACACACACACAGCCACACAGTTGCCCACACACACACACACAGCCACACAGTTGCCCACACACACACACACAGCCACACAGTTGCCCACACACACACACACAGCCACACAGTTGCCCACACACACACACACAGCCACACAGTTGCCCACACACACACACACAGCCACACAGTTGCCCACACACACACACACGCGCGCGACAAACACACCGCATCATACCAATGTTCTGGTGAGTCACGGAGTGCGACCAGCCGTTGAATCCAAACGTCTCGTTCGCCAACGCGATCACACGCCAGCCCTCGATATAGGCGAGCTGGGGGTGCACATGGTAAAAAGAGAAGAGTAGAGGAACATACAATTACTTCACACATGCGTACTTATTTCCACACTAGCACCAAATATCTAGGTCCGCTCGTAGAGGATCCAGTAGCGAATGCCAAATGCTGCTGTCTGATGATCGCTGAAATGCATGAAACTTGAAGTTACAGCTATACAGCTTTTAGCCGCCGGTGAATGTGTATACTGCTCTGTACATTTGTGCATTGAGTACTCTGCTTTGGGCTGCCTCGACCGGCCTTGTTTGTACCACAGTATATCTAACAAAGCTTTAGCAGAGCTTGTAATGTTCTTCAGCGTTTTAACGCGTGTGTGTGTGTGTGTGTGTGTGTGTGTGTGTGCGTGTGTGTGTGTGTGCATGTGTGTGTGTGTGCGCGCGCGCGCGTGTGTGAATTGCAGTCACGACAAGCAAAACCCGACACTTGCCATTGGGGACAACGCCACAAAAGGACACACACACACCCTACAAAAGGTGAGACTACGCAACAGTGAACTCAAGGTGCAAGACCTGCAAAGTCCCTTACTTTCTGGCCCCCGGCACCAGACCGCTGGCTTATGTACTCTGAACCTAGCTTCTTCTCGAGTGCACTCTGGATGGCAGAGTGCTCGTCTTCCGTGAAGTGAACCTGCCCAAACACACACATCACAAGCATCACCAAAAGAAAGGTTTTGTCATGCATTGCATATTTCCTTCAGCTAGATAAACGAGGGCATACACCTCGGCTGCTTGAAGGTGTAATGTTGTATAGTGGTCCCTTTATAATCCGGCATCATTTGCACTAAAGAAATTCTGCTGGATTAGGGAGTGTGCTGGATTAACAAATCTGATCTACTGCTGCAATGTGCATGAAGAGGACATTTTGGCTACTGAAAATTGTGCTGGTTTATAGAGGGTGCTGGTTTATAAAGTGCCGGATTAAAGAGGGACGACTGTACCTGCCACCTTTGTTGGTTTCAGGGTTCATACGCTTTCTATTTGAAGAAGTATACATACCTGTTCAGGGAATAATTTAACCAGTATCGCATCGCAGTTTGCTACGCAATTCTTCTGAGGGGTGAAGCAACTTCAGAAATGCGTCGCAGACAACTGCGATGCATGTTGATTTTTCACTGTACCCTATGATGCACAGTGTACATGCCGGGTGTGTGTGTTAGGGATGAAATAGATGCACGAAGCTTCGAAAGTGCTGAGCTATGCATCCTGGCACCAGGCTGGGTTTGCAACTCAGGTGTTACAGTGTACTTGTGATCTGAGCTTGCACTCTGATCAGCTCTCCAGAATGACAATGTTGTCAAGTGTTTAAGAAAATTGCTACGCAACATTTTTGAATTGCTATTCAAGTTTGATTTTGCGTAGCAGAATTGCTATGCAAAAGATTGAAAGTAAATTATTCCCTGCTGTTAACCATGGACTGCTTCTGGCTAGATTAACTCTTGTGTAATCAATGGTACTAGTGAAGCTTATATCGGGTCAACTCTGATTGGGCAGTTCAATAGCCAATTGAGTCATCTTTCCAAGATTCCTTTTGAGTCTCTCTCCCCTCTCCCGGGGAGGAGACCCACGTGACCAGTTTTGGCAGTGAGCAACAAGTACAGCAAGTACAATTCAAGTGTGTGTGTCATGCGGTCGTCACTACGTGACCGATTGGCAATCGCCACACATGCCCGACCCCGCGACTGATCCCGTGAGCGACCAAGAGTTGTAGGCGACGTAGCAGCGGTGCGGTGAGCGACGGGTTCCATCGTTTACTGCGGGGTTTCCCCACGGGCCAGCGCAATACGATTTTCATGACAAACGTCAACATCAAGTCTGTTTGTGTGCGTACCCGCGGCCCCGGACGTACACTTTTTCTTGTTGGTTGTTGTTGTTCTCTTCCAGTCTATGTAGGCATGTGTACTTTCATAATAAAAATTTAAAAAACACAGGATATGCTCCCCGCCAATCAGTCATAGCGGCATATGCACCCGATGTAAACACTTCCAAAAGGAGAGTGCCAGTCGCCATCAGTCAGTCAGCCGTCAGCGCAGTTCTTAGCGCTCGCTGTTTTGCCCAAGAACTCCACGTACGTTGGCGTAGAAACTGTAGGGACTACAGTCCATTTCAAAACTATAGACGCGTACCTAGGCAAAAACCGTTGTGCCAGCATCTATACCACATAAAATCTGTGATCACTTCGTGCATAAATTTTTCCAAATTGGGCGTCTGTTATCCGATCGTTTAGAAACTATGTGAGAGTAATTGTGGAGCGGACCTGAGCAATATTCCGAAAACTATTCTCAAAAAGTTCCAGCCAAATTTGAAATATTTCAAAAACACTACACGTCCATAGTTTTGAAATGGACTGTAGCCCCTTCCATGCCCCTACTTACTGGCAGAATTACCAGGTAGAATCGGCCATCGGTGATAGATACCGCATTTCCCGACTATAAGTTTCAATACAGTCAGACCTCGCATAACCGCACACATCCGTTTTCCACAAAAAAATATCCGGATAGGCGAGGGAACCGGATAATCGAACACACGTGCTGTGTGTATGTATGCCATATGCTGTAAATCGGTAACCAACGATTTTCTTCCGGATGGCGAGGGATCCGGCTAAAAGAGGACCGGATAAGCGAGGTCTGACTATATAGTCAAGTAAGTAGGATGTCACAGTTGATTGTAGGTCGCACCCCGGCCCTTCTTCGCCCCTGAATTAAAGTGTAAAAAAGGTGCGACTTATATTCGGGGAAATCAGTACGTAAATCCTTGAAAGCAGATTTTGAATTCTTACTTGTGATTACATACACATGCAGTAGATGTATCACCAATTTCGGTGATTATCCCTGTACGTGTATAATTATAGACTATTAGACACATAAAGCATGTGGTCATGAGTCCACGACTTTGCATGGGGCAAATATAATGTAGGGGATCAACCGTACCTGTCCGAACATTCCCAAAGACGTTGGCCTGCACAGTGACAGTAGGGTGATAAACTCACGATCAGCGACTTGGCATGCAGCAGGCTCTACACAGTGAGTTTCCACAGCTTCAGATTGTACAGGCTGGTCAACTTGAGCATCAGTACTGAACAGAACTTCAGAAGTGACTTAGAAATTACTTTTGAAGGTTTGTAGAATGTATGCAGTCATGCAATTTTACTTTCTCAGTGATCTGTTTCAAACCCGACAACCGCAAATGCAAAGAAAACGAAGAAACTTTGTTAGAATTGTAGTTGCCTATCGGAATATCTGCCTCGATCGCTTCAGATAGCATTTGAAGGAAGTCCTGATTTTAGAATCACGTTCCAGCATCACCACTCCATCGATGACTCGCACTCGTTCTCGTCGAGCTCTGTTCAAATCACGTCACTTTTTATTTTCAAAACTACCGCCAAACCTGTTTTTCCTGCGGAAACGGGATTTCATTCAAAACGTCATGATTATCAAATCGCGGGTCTCGTGCGCTGTGTGCAGCATGCACTTCATGTTGCAAACACACAAAGCGAAAAAAGTTTGCATTCATCGTGAGTGTTACCTGGGATCATTGTCGATTCCGTGCGGCTTTTGTTGTGGCTGGACTGATCGGCTGCGGCTGGCCGTCTTTTCCCCTTCTTGCTCGTGCTCGTACTTGTCTTTTCAAATGGCGGCGTTGAGAACAGCGTTCGTCCGGGGAGCGTGCAGTAGTTTGTTTCAAGGCTCTAAATGCATTCGACCCAGCGCAGCATTTGTACCAAAAAATTTGGGCATACACCACCGATGTGCTAGTAAGCCTGAGCGAATGTTGGAACTAACTTCTTTGCAGTGGTTTGAGTACCGTGATCTTCTTTTCTTCTGTCCTTTCCAGGCATTAACTTGCCGACTAATCTGAAATACACGTCCTCGCATGAGTGGGTGGACGTTCAGGAAGACAATGTGGCACGAGTTGGAATTACAGATTTTGCCCAGGTAACGTTTACACCTGTATTGATTGTAGCTCAGCGTGCACGATGGTCTTTGTTTGTGCTTCTAGTGTTCTGGTTTGCTCATTTCGGACACTGCTTGGTGTGCTGCGAGGACAGTCTGCGTCATTGACTGCACAGTGTTGACAAAATTTATTTTTAATCACAATGGCCTGGAACTCACACCAATGCTATGATGCTATTGTTGCCTGCTCGCTATTGCCAAATCGAGAACAGTGGAGTTGACCTTGCACATGTAGCCTGCCTGGGCAATGCTATCTAGTAAAGCCATGCATGTGCTCTTGGCAATGAGTATGTAGCACTGTGTAGATATTGTATTACTGCAATCCACTGCGGCTTCGTTCTCTCAGCATCTCGACCGTTAGTTGCCCGCGCAGCATTCTGCCAAGCCGCTTGCTATTTGCCGCTATGTAGAGTTGCGCGCCGAAGGGCATGGGTGCCCAAGAGCGCCCAGCCTGAAATGCTAAGAACAGCGGTATAGGTTCCCTGCTTTTGTTATACACATGTACGTTAGATGTGCGTCTAAGAACGTGCTATACGAACACAGGCAGACTGCTGAAAAATAAGAACGCCCCATCTTGACCACTTGGAAACAACATTCTCAGGCCATCAGCCCTACTAGCTACTGCCAATGCGCCTATGCATGACGCATGGCTGCCGCCTTTTTGCATTGGATTTTTTCCATATTTGGAAGATCCAACCAACTCTAGTACACTTGTGAGTATGACTGTACCCAGTCCATGACCTTTATGCGGAGCTGATATCACAGTGTGTACGGCAGTGGACTTGCTCCACGAACCCGAATAGCGGGAAGATTATGCATAAGTCCCATCTTCCCCAAGCCAAATGCTAGGCTAAAAAAAAGAGAGGAAATGGCTTGTTTATAATAAAGAAAAAGAACCAAGGAATTACAAATGAAATGGCTTGTCACCTCTTTATTTGACCGCCAAGCTTTCCCAAGCTATGCCAAGAGTGGGTGACGCCACGAAATGAATGAGTATATCTGCCGTGCCCATGTTCCATTGCCCTTATTTCGTATGTGTTGGTGTTGCTCGCGTACACCTTGTTGCCTAATGATCATGTGTGAGCAACCAAGAGGCATACCGTGTATCCCCCCGGCTTTTAGTCGCATCCGGTGCAAATGTGCAATGTATTGGAGGGGGGGGGGGGGGTGTCGCGTGTCTCTGTATATACCGTATTTTCTCTAATAAAAGCCCAGGTCTCCAATAGGTATTACGTGTGTTGGTTGTTTGGCTTGGCTTGGGTGATCGACCGGTTGGTTGTGTGTTTGTGTGCACAGACCGAGCTCGGAGAAATTGTATTTGTGGACGTATCGCCATCCTCCGAAGCACTGCAGACCGGTGGTAAGCTTAAAAGTAGCCATTTGGCAGAAAGCACACACGGGTGTGATTGTGTATGTGGCTGTGGTTGTTGCCAGGCATGAGCTCTCTTATTGCTTTGGGACTCGCCTTGGCGATGAACCACCAGCAAAACCCTGTCACGCCTGTGCAGTGGCGATGGGGTTATGTCGCGCATCACCGATCTTCTGGATTGCTATCCAGGCACTGATGATGTGTGGTGCAAGATAATTGGACAGGCGAGGAATGCTGCTCGTCATGTCGAGCTCATTGAAACAAAATGCATCTGCCCCCCCCCCCCTTGACTGTGACCCTGTGTTGACTGACCCTACCTTTCTTTAAAAGTGCAAACTGGCCTTTGACTTCCATCTCCTGTGTCTTGCAGCAAACTTTGGATGCTTGGAAGCTGTGAAGACTGTCAGCGACCTTGTAATGCCTGTGCAAGGCGAGGTTGTGGAAGTGAACAGCGAGCTTGAGTCCACACCGGATCTCATCAACAAGCAGCCGTATGAAGATGGTGAGTTCTGGTCGGATCGACACGTCTGGATGTGTTTGCTGTGCGGGCTGCGACCTAAGGTCACCTGGCCTTGCTGCCTGGGTGTGTCAGTATATTCTGTTCGTCATGTCTCCATTGCTACTTGTACGTTGGTGACCATCTTGACAGTGCATGGAGTAGTAATGGCCCAAGAGATGCTGATTGCACGTCCTCTTTACTGCATACTGGTGTAGCACCTGTGACGGGGATGTGGCTGTAACCTGATTACAAGGACTTACGCCAGCACGTATCTCACGAACAAAATACTAGCGTGAGGACAAGTTACCTTCTTTTGCAGTAAACTCGACTATGTAACACTTTCCTTAGGATGCAGAAATACATGACTACTCTTGGTTCACAGGCAACTATTCTCTACGACTATCCATGATGACTACCAATAGCTATGATAGGATTATCTTACAAATACAAGCACATGCGATCACGGAATGATGGTAAATCAGCAGCTTTTATAGGCAGACAGCAGAAGTGCTGCAACAGCACTGGTCAGAGCAACGCGGAGTAGAGAGAAGACAAAAGGTCAAAAGTGGACGCGTGGGCAAGAGACTGAGTATGGCGTATTATTGCAATGGGGAATATTTGCCAGAGGTGCGGCAATATTGCACGTGGGCACAGCAGTGCATTGGTACCATTGCAGGTGTGTACAGAAGGTGAAACAGCATGTGGGTGCTACACTGGTACATGTAGTGGGTAATATTTGGACGAAATTCTTTTTTTACAATTTCGTATGCCATGGCTAGTGTCCTGAATCACGTCCGAACAAAAAAAAATGCCACTCAGTACAGCACAGGCCCATGCACATCTACACTGTATGGAAGTCCATGTGTTACTCCCATGTATGAGGTTTCCCAGTACCCGGTATCTTTCGCCTGTACAATGGGATGTTGGCTGCCGGTGCAGGGTAGCTGAGTGAGGCAGAGGAGGTCCATTTGCGCTCCGCACTTACCTACCCACTTGGAACAGATACCGTATTATCTCTAATATAAGCACGGTCTTTTATTTTTTCAATGTACAGGTCGTCCCTCGTTAATACATAATCTCTGGGACTTGACAAATGTTATGTATTAATGGGGTTTATGTACTAAGCGAAAGTGTACATAGCTTGCTTGTGTACCAGAATTTTTCGCTTTTTTTCAACTTTTCTGAGTGTTTCTTGCTACCATGACTAGTGAGCGAGATAGTCTTGATTCCCTCGATATAACATAAAAATTATGTTATAACGATCACAGTCAGCCAGGATTCTACAGTTTACATGATATATGCCCAGCTGCGCCTGTACAGTCACTAGGAAAAAACAGAGCTTTGTCGGTTTGTGATGTGCGCTCTGATTTCTGAGCTAATCGCATCCACAAGTAGAAACCAGAACACGATGTGCCTCCACTGGAAGGCCAAAAGACCAACAAATTATGTACTACTGAGGTAGATGGCATGCGGGTACGGAGAAATGTTATGTACTAACGGGGTTTATGTACTAACGAATTATGTACTAACCGACAAAATTTGTATGGAAGTGACCACGTTTCGTCCGGGACTTGAGATTTCTTATGTACTAACGGGGTTTATGTACTAACCGGACTCGTATCAACGGGGGACGACCTGTACCTCCGCCCCGTGCTATTAATGCAGACGTTCCTTTATTGGAGATTGTTCCATTATTATTTCAACCTCATTTCAGAGGCATGTTGCTATGCCAAATTCATGTCAGACACACACATTTCAGGGTTTTTTCGCCGGTACAGGTAATGAATTTACACAGTGTGCTTATAATGGAGACTGAGCACTTTATTTTTTGAATGCCGCCCCAAGGTGTTCTATTATTGGAGACTGTGCTTATATTAGAGATAATACGGTATGCAGAGGGCTTTGCACCGTGATTCCTCCCTGGTCTCCGTGTGAAAACTAAGCGCACAGAGTACATGTGTCGGGAACGGGAAGTTTGAGCATGCTACGCACAGCAGAACCAACGCAACGTACGAAAAATCCGTGTCAAACTTCACTGCAGTTGACACGGAGTTTGGTACGTAGTTCCCTGTAGCAGGAACTCACTATCGTCTGTACACGTGTTCTTGTTTGTTTGCTATTTTGTTTTGTCTTCAGGCTGGATTGCCAAGATCAAACTGTCCAACCCAAGCGAGGTGGACAGCTTGCTTGATCACGAGGGCTACCGTAAGCTCGTCGACAACTGATCGATGCGGGACGTACCGATAATCGTGCGTGGCACTTGACAAGATTTGGATTCTTCTTTTCGCTACGCGTGGTGGCGGGCAGCCCGCTTACTTTGAGTTTGGTTTGGGTTCTTCCCTTGAAGCTACCGCGTGAGGATGCTTGCGCTTTTTGGCGGCTTTGCTGCCGCGGACGCCCTCTGAAGTCTCTATATTTCTCTCCGCTCTCTCTCTCTCTCTCTCTCTCTCTCTCTCTCTCTCTCTCTCTCTCTCTCTCTCTCTCTCTCTCTCTCTCTAACTTTTTTTTCTCCTTCGTTTAGTCTTGTGTTCAGTCCTGCTTTGGCCATTTTAGACCCTGACTATTGGTACTTCAAAGTAGATATCTGGTCTACCTCTAACTGTACCACTGTACCCACCGCTTTAGGAACGCATCCAGTTTTAGTTGTTCCTTGTATATACTATTACATGGACCTAACTGTATTGTATTTGACCATTCTCCAACCAACCCCTTCTCCCATGCTTTCTCCCATGCTGTTTTTTCTGCTTGGGATAATGATGGCCGTGAGGACTTGCCGTCATTTCAATCCAAGCGTACCCTCAATGACCACATGCGCCTTGCATCAACAGTAGGCTAAGTTGTTTTTTGGCGGCAACCGTTGTCTGATGGCTCTTCTTGCTGACTGGTGGTGGTGGTGGTGGTGCAGCTGCATGACACGGGACCCCCCCCCCCTCTCTCCTGCATTGGTGCTAGTACCAGGACATGTACTTCGATTACAAACCGTAACCTGGCAAGAGTACGAGGCTCCTATCTTGAGCTAACCCAGGGCAGATTTGTTCGTTTTGTCTTTTTTTCTTTTTTCCCCAGTTTCTTCTCCATCCCAAACCCAACAAAGGCCAGTTTGATCAACAAGAGCAAAAACATACACAGCACATGCCTCATAGGATACCCACTCGGACGATGTTTTCAGTGAAACACACCCAGCAAATGAAATCCGATCTCATGAAAAATTACGATTCACTTTCAGGAATTGTTAGGGAGTACCGTAAAGTACCGCCAGAGCGCCCCACCTTGATTTTACAGCCAGAGAAAGGATTTTTTTTTTCGTATGGCAGAGTGCAACGAAGTTTGTACGATGTAAGAAGCTTAGTGTACTAAGGTCACACTTGGCAGGTTTTTGTGTGGAGCTTGTGTCCGCTCGAAGGTACGGATTGACTGCAAAACGTGCTATATGTGTACAAGGTTCATGTCGTATGACCTACAGACAGCAGACCACCTCCACAATACGACCACGAAAGGATGAGATGGTGGGGCGCTCTGGCGGTACTTTACGGTACAATCAGACCTTGCTTATCCGGTCCTCTTTTATCCGGATCCGGAAGAAAATTGTTGGTTCCCGATTTACAGCCTGTCATGTATACTGTACATACAGTGTGTGTGTGTGTGTGTGTTCGATTATCCGCTTCCCTCGCGTATATCCGGATATTTTTGTGGAAAACGGATGTGTGCGAGGTCGAGGTCTGACTGTACAATGTACTAGTATACTACAGTACTGGCCAAAGAAATCCAACTTCATGAATTATAATAGCGTTGCCGGGCGCTACTCAGCCCTAGCACTACGCGCATACTGGTCTGTGCACTCAAACGCGGCGCTACTTTTTCTCATCAGGTTGGATTTCTCTGGCAAGCAGTGTAAATACTGGTATTTTTACTACTACTCTCTGACACGTACATATACCGTAGTGACGCGCATATAAGCACATGCGCCTATACCCGGGCATAAGCGCATGGGCTTATAGGTGAACCTAAATGCAGTCCATCCCGCAACACACACACCACAAAAATACCATAATTCACATAGTTCAATGTGCATTGCGGTATTGCACAACAGTGTATGTGCATAATTATGCAAGGTACCGGTACACTGGCAATCAAGCGCATGCGCCTATGTGTGAGACAAAAGACCCGCAAAAAATAGCAAATAACGCAAAAACCCACTCATAAGCGCATGGGCCTTTATGTGCGTCACTACGGTACGTATATTACTTGCAGAGAGAACACTGCAAGTGAGGTAGGGCATGCAGTGAATGCGCTCCCTTCAGAAGCCCAGACTTCATAAGACGCCACAGCAATACTACAGTCATTGTGCAGTACATGTGAAGAGCCGAGATGCAAAACCCGATAAACGTCAAATTTGAGAATATCAGATTTTCAGCTCAGTGTACTAGTAACAAGAGTTCATAACCCCCCCCCCCCCCCCCCCTGGGTTATGAACTCTTGCTAGTAATCAAAACAGAAGGCCCAGGGCAGGGAGTTGTACCGAAACTGGTTTGGGTACGACTCCCTGGTCTAGGGGCACCAGCAGCCAAAAATTCACATTCAAAACCTGACTGGAACCATCTGAAAACTGGAACCCAACTATGGGCTTAGATACAAACCGCACATAAAATGAATTCTTTTCGGCCATTATCCGAAAAGCGATGAAATGGATTTAGCAGGTTGGCTTTCAGCTCATCATGTACATGTGCGTACGCTAGCCCAAGTCAAGGATCTATCACCTCCACCCACAGAAGCCCTCAGTGACACTGGTACACCATACTTCCAATGAAACATTTTCTACCATCTCCCCGTTTATTTAGAAGCCATGTTGCACTGTAAGTGGCGGAGAAAAATGAACAAAAAGCGTGATCATGCGAAGGAGAGCAAAACTATGATACCCAAGGCATTTGCCTAGATGCACTGATACAACGGCAGAATGATAAATTCAAATCAGATCAGTGGCATACCCCTGAGTCGGGGCTGGAGAGGTGTGTATCTCCGAATGAAAATCTTTGCAGTATGACGATCAGTGAAAGTTATGGACATAAAAACGTGGCAAGTATGTACACGTACACGACGGGCTTTGGTCTCATTCGCGGTGTAGGAGGACAAACAGGCCCAGCACCGACAGTAGAACGTACTGCAGAACAAGAACGCACAAGGAAGCACAGCAGATACGCACGCACGCGCACACACACATACACACACACACACACACACAGTTGAGATTAGCGACTGCCCAGAACTGTCAGCGTTGTATACAATTCGGTACTGAACAGGATTTTGTTGGAAGTAAGAGAACATGTACAAGAGGTTCAAACGTGAAACTAGGAATACTGATATAAATACACATGTACAACCATGAGTACACAGGGCCACACAGGCAAAAACAAGCATACACACACACACACACACACACACACACACACACACACACACACCAGAGCACACGGACATACTCACCTTCAACTTTGGGTAGTCATTCATCACTATCGTAACCATGCCAACGTGCGGTACAAACCTGCAATGCCAATAGACAAGGCACGGACACAAACGTAGGCGTTTTACACCTGTCCTAAAGGAAAGCGGAGAAATGCAGTCACCATTTGGCACTCCACTGGTGGAAAATTACTAAACGTTTGCACACACTGGAACTGGCAAAATGAGAAAACACTTGAGATGAGGACACTCCCCCCCCCCCCCCCCCCCGAGATTATAGAGCGGTTCCGCATAACGTTATTATGTTAGTAAAAAACGTAGTCGATCTACGGAAAGTCTTACGTAAACTGCATGTGCCTCTGTGTTCCGCCATACGGAGTTTTCAAATCAAGTAGCTGCCCTTTCGCAACTCCGAACGCGGCAGTGTACGACCAGATCGACCTGGGGAGAGTTATAAATGTGTACCCCAATCCACTTACGGACCAGCTACGTTATCAGAGCACTATCTACATACTCTCCGTAGACAACTTTCCATAAGTGGAGTGCAAACTCGTGAATTCACGGGTTTTCCTGCCCACTAACGTAAAGTAAGTTGCTCAACTTTACGTAGTGCGGAACCTCTCTAATACTGCAAAATTGAAACTAGGGAAGTGTCCACCTCTATGCACACAAAATTCGCAACTTTGGATACGAATGCACAGTGTCCCATATTGTTCTGGTTATAAGTCGACCGTTATGACCCAAAGGTAGAATTTTAAAAAAGAGAAGCAGATTTACACCCCCCCCCCCCTTGCAGCCATTGATGCCGGAGCAAAAACTTACCCTCTCGCGATTATCCGCACCCCTGTTTTATACTACTACAGTCGTCCCTCTCTAATCCGGCACTTGTTTATCCAGCACCCTTGCAAACCAGCACACTTTCTAGCAAAACGGATTTTTCAGTTCATTTTCTACGCTCTAATCCGGGACTTGAATTCCGCCTCCGGCAGCGATTTTCTGCAACAAATCACTCAAACTGTACATAATTTGATTTTCTAATCCACCAGTTGTACATCGCATACCGTACCGGTGCCAATATCCTATGCCAGTGCATAGGATACTAAGTTCCCAAGTGTATGTTATAGACATGGCATGTTACAGACATGCATTCCACAAACTTGTGACAAAGTACTTGGATTGACACAGAAAATCCCTACATTTTGACGTACGACACAAACATGTACGTTACTAGGTGAGCCGGGTTGGAGGGCAGGATTTGATAAGCAAGCACCCTTGTTTATCCGGCAGAAAATGCCGTCGCAAAAGGTGCCGGATTAGAGAGGGACGACTGTACTACATGTACCTGGTCATTGGTTGAGAAGCAAGTGTGTGCAATAACTCCCATTGTTCTAAACTCACCCTCTCGCTCGGCCCACCACATCACTTCGTTCTAGCCACATCTGTCCCGGCGCGTACAGGCCTCGGTCATCTACCATGTTATTGTCTCCTTTCGTCAGGAACTTTATCGTTCCATCCTCCCTGCAAACAGTGCCAAATAACAAAAAATACACGCACAACAATTTAGTAGAAACCACGCTCTTGCCTGAAACAACAGGGCACAATTTGATGCAAATCCCCCTGATAGTACTGTGCATCCAACACGGGATTCATTCTGTGAAGCAAGTCTTGTTGGTTATGATTGCCACAATGGGCATGCACATGTGTCACACTCCACAGCCATAGAGTTTCTACCCTCACACACCCACATACACACACACACACACACACACACACACACACACACACACACACACACACACACACACACACACACACACAGAAAGTCTTGTGCAGAGCTCAACGATATGCCGACTGCCAGAAAGCACAGTGCTCCAATAGAGTAGGCTGTGTGCAAAATTCATGGGGAACATGGGCATGGGCACGCACACACACACACACACACCCATACCCCCTCCCCAGACACACATGCCCATTGCCGAAGTCATGATTTGAGCACACGTTATGCTTAGACATAGCAACTTGTGCAAGGATTACACCATTCAACAGCTGATAAGGCTTAGGACTTCACACGCACGCACCACACGCACACCCACACACACACCCAGCAAAGCCATGATTAGCAACAACAGTGCAGCCATACTTACTTCTCATGAAGCTTGAGAACCCTGTGCACTATAGGAATATCTCTACCCTTGATGCGAAACACAACGATCTCGCCAACGCGGATGGGCTCCGACTGATAGTTGGTTAGGAAGAGAAGATCACCTCTGTAGAACGCTGGCTCCATGCTACCACTGCAGAGAGAGAGAGAGAGAGAGAGAGAGAGAGAGAGAGACCCAGCGAAAACTTGCACCATTGAAAACAAGCTGTCCAAGGGGCCTACCGTAGTGATGCGCATATAAGCACATGCGCCTATACCCGGGCATAAGCGCACCCTCACAAATAAGCGCATGGGCTTATAAGTGAAACTAAATGCAGTCCATCCCGCGACACACACACACCACAAAAATACCATGTTCACATAGTTCAATGTGCATTGCGGTATTTCACTATGTGCATAATTATGCAAGGTACCGGTACACTAGCAACTCAAGCGCATGCGCCTATGTGTGAGACAAAACGACCCGCAAAAATAGCAAATAACGCAATGACTCACTCATAAGCGCATGTGCCTTTATGTGCGTCACTACGGTAGATAGTTCAAGTCTGATCAAAACAAAAGCTACAGCAACATCATGATCGTAAGACGGTTGGCAGATACGTAGCCGGGGGGGGGGGAAAGGGTGCGAACGGACCCCTCCTTTCCGCCCACAGCTTTGAAAACTTGAATGAAAAAAAAACTCTTGTTTAGACATGTGCATACGTGCGCATGTTGCATTATACAATCCATCAAGAGTTCATAACCCCCAAGAGTGTGCAACTCCTGATCAGTCCCTGTATGGAAGCCCGCTCGGCGGAATTCCTCCATTGCGTCATTTTTGGTGCAGTGCGATGAGTCACGCCGATGAATTCTTCTAAAATTTACAGTCAAACCAGGATGCTTCCCCAGGGTAAACTGCCTAAACTGCGATTCTAGTCTGAGCCTCGAGTCAAGAAGCAAAAGTGAAACAAAGTATGCACACGAAAGACAAAACTATTTTTTCGATGCAATGGTGACTCTTCATCGCCTTCTTCTTTCACCAGTGCAGTCAGTCTATTCAAGAACAATTTCTTCCCCAGGCCATCGGCATATTTCTGGTGCTTTCCTGGAAGATAATTTCAAATGGTTGAGGAACTTGAGAATACGTCGAAGGAGCATTTTTCGGCTGAGTTGCACAGCTATCAGAATGATTGTCCTCGACGGCAATGCAATATTTTTAACAGCGTCCTCACTTCTTCCTGTCGCGATGTCCATGGATTCTTGGAGAAAGAGTTTGTTTTTGAGAAAGTACGACTTGTACGTCCGAAATGTCTTCAAAAA